ACGCCCCACGCCCCACGCCCCGTTCCTTCACCCGGTCGCAGCCAGAGATGGAGCACTCCAACTGGCCACGCCACCGGAAAGCGGCCTCTGCCACCTCAGATGCCTCTTCGGGCCACTCGCGACCTCAGCTGGGCGGTGGTTGGAATGAAGCCGTGATACAACGAAAAGGGCCTCCCAAAGGCATTTTCCACCCATCAAAAGCGGGGGGTTCCCCAAAGTATCACAGAAGTGGCTGGATAAACCCCGAGTGATCCCAGAACTCTGGGGTAGCGTCACTTTGTTCTTTGAAGCCTCACTGCAAAAGCAGGCTCCCTCAAATTCAAAGTTTCAAACCCGAAGCCCTATCAGGTGATGTTCGTTGATCCCGATCTCAAGCGAGGCCGAGGATCTTCCGGACAGCAGCTGGTACACGGCGGTCTCAACATCTTCTGGCAGCGGCTCCTGGGCGAGCACGACATGCGATCGATGGACCGTGTCGCAAAGAAGGGGCTCAAGCCCTACATGGGGTGTGTCTTTCTGAAATGGGGACCCCCCAAAATGGTGGGTTTCCCTTCTTGGTTTCCCTTTAAAATCACCAAAGCAAGGGCACCCATAAAAAAGACTCACCTAGATGTCTCTCTGGAAAAAAATCAAAGCAAGGGTACCCATAAAAAAGACTCACCTAGATGTCTCTCTGGAAAAAATCGATCTCGCCCATGCAAATGATTGCCCATGCTGAAACCGGAGCCATCGAGTCAAACAAGTTGACCCAGAAAGGACACCTGTGGAGTCAATAGCCCTATGACATTTACAACTTGTACAAACATTGATAATTGCGAAAGTCAAGCACATAGGCGCAGCACTTCTGCTTGCTGTTTCAAGGGCAACCCAATTCAAGACCGATGCTCTTGGGGCCTATTGTTCATGTTTTTCTCGAAGTCCGCCAGCAACTCGCGCATGTGGTCCATTGCTCGGGTCTAAAATCCGGAAGATCTCACGGGCCATGCGGTCGCTTCGCCGAGCTTCCAGGTTCAGCTCCTTCCCCTCCGCCGCCTCGCACGCCTCCAGCGCCTCGGGGCCCAATCTGAGACCCACCCTAGGGTTCCCCACGTGGCTCGCCCAGACCCAACTCCCTTCGCCTCCTTCGCAGAGAACCCCAGGACCACCAAACTGAGGACGTTGAATTTCAGATTTTTTTAAGACAAGTTATGATTGCAGCTCGGTCTTGTGACGCTGTGAGAAGGTGAATGTGAACATACTATAATGTTTGTTGACCATAGTTTGTGTATGCTTATTCATTCCATTGCTTGCCACCCTTTGAGTCGCCATTCAGACGGAAGCACCACCAAGTCCAAAAGCTGCATGAAGAATTGGGTATCCCCAAAGTTAAAGAACATTTCTCGTGGCTCGTCTTTCACCCCGAATGGGTGTTGCTCGCCATCAAAACAGGCAGAAATCCAACAAACAGCTATAAATATCCATCCCTCCCTCCCCCCCCCGGAGCAGCGCGCTTTGCGCGCCGAGGGCGCCGAGGCATAGAGCCGCGCGCAGCGCGCCGCCAGCCCGCTGTCCACCTCACGGCCGTCGTGCGCGAAGACGGTGCGCGTGCCGCGGGCTCCTGGACGCGGGGAGCGTCTCGCCCGGTGGGCGAGCCCGTTGGGTGGTACGTGCACCGGGGTGAAGTGGATGGCGCGAATTCCTTTATCTAAACAAGCAAAGGGGATGACACAATTGCATGGGGGGAATAGTGCCATCTACTTTCACCCAAAAGAGAAAGAATGCAACATGGGGCTTCTCTGTTTTGGGTGGTGTGTTGAAAGGGAAACGAAAAAGAAAGCAAACAAGATTGGGCTCCCGCTGATTTTGGTGAAACTCGCCTCGTGATCTTTCAGTGAAAGTCATCCCCCGTGGCAGGTTCACCAGGTGAAATGTTCCTAGCTTTTGCCCTCGCCAGCCTAGAAACTGCAAATGCAAGCGGCCCATGCACAGGAAAGACCAAGAGGAACGCCATCAACTCGAAAAAACTCCGGCAGCAAAAGCCCCGTGCCTTGGGGGGGCCGGAAGGGCCCTGTTTTACGACCAAACCGAAGGCGAGGCGGCCCTCGCAAACGAGCTGTGAGACTTGCGATGTATGAAAGCTGGCTTGCTGGCTGGAGCCCTTCTTGCTTTGGCAAGCAATGGGGGCCAATGAATCCCACAACTGAGCTCTCCCCCCGCAGGCTCGAGGACCGCCGTGCTCCGTTCTCTTTTGAGGTCTTTGTTCCGCTCTTTTTCTCCGCTCTTTTGCCCACTCTTCTCTCCGCCCTTCGCCAGTCTTGACATCGCTTTGCGCGCAGAGGATGCAGGTCAAGCGCTTTGGCCGTTGAGCTTAGCGTCCGCCCTTGCGCGGACGCTAGCTTTCGATTGCCTCCCTGGCCTCAAGTGTCTCTTTGGAGTGAAGCGTTTACGGAGATGTTTTCATGCCGCCCATCTAGTCCCATTTCTGTTACGGAAGGTCAAAAGAACCACCGTTGGAAGGCAGCTTGCTGGTCATGGGTCAAAATCCCGCACCCCCAGTGAACATCCCAATCCCCACTAAAATAGATTAAAATGGGTGGTGCACCTACCCATTTTATGGTACCATTGGTTTTGACCCACAGCTTACTCTCTGACCCCCCAAGCTGCGACATCGACACGGCCAGTCCTCGGCCAAGCATGCCACTGCACTCCCGAGGCAAGTGCTCCGCGTATCTGGCGTGCTGGGAAGACACGCAGCGCGATGCTTCTATGCCAGTTCTCATGTCGAGTATGGTTCTGGAAAAATGGGTTCTTGCGATTCAATGCTTACATGAGCGATCGGCTGAGTTTAAATGAGCACGCCTTTGTTGAATGCATCCTGATTGTTTCAGAAGAAGTCCCACGCCGTCATTGCATTCGCACGCCCTATGCCCTTTCTCACATCGGCTCCAGTCACAAGAGCATGCCCCGAGCTTTAGTGGCGGTCAGTCAAATCCTCCTTGCACGGCGCGTTGCGCAAGAGCGACTTCACCTGATTCGATCTGGGTCCACGGGGGCAAAAAAAGGGTGAATGGGAAGCACTTGCAAACGCAATAGAAACCACTCCAGCCCTTCCCCCCCCCCCTCCAACCCCCCCCCGGCCGTCGGTGCTGCCTACCCAACACTCAACTTGGAGCCTCCGACCCTCCAGCCTTGCCAGCGGGTTCTGCTCTGGGCGGCCATGCACCCAGGTTGCCCCCAAGTCGTAGCTCCCCGTGCCACTCGCCTGGAAAGCAAACCAGCAATAAGACCAGCGGCAAACGGGCGCCGGCATTCCTTCATTCCGACTGCCAACATCTTGGCATGTGTATGGTCTCAAAACAGTCACCAGGCCAATGCCAAACAGAAGTCATTGTGCATGCAGTTCATGTTGCATTCTCGAATTTGGCTACAAAATCCACCCTCAAACTCCGGCGCGCGCGCAAATCTATCTACACTTCACCCACAGTCCCCAGTCCGCGCGCCTCCAGCCGCGCCGTGCGCGCCCGGCCCCCGAGGTGGCCCAAAGCTTCCACCAGCGTCACGTGCCACCCGCGCCGCGCCAGGCCCAAAGCTGCCGGTTTGCTTCGGTGTGCTTCGAAGGAAAATGGGCGACCCCTGGCATTTGTCCTTTGGTGGGAAACACAAGATGAACGGAACTGGGGGGCCCCCCACCCCCCCAGCTCACGTACCGCCCACTCTTGGGGTTCATGGAAAAAGAAACGTCGTGTCCTGCATCTTTTGTGGGGTCTATGAGCCTGGCGAAGCCTACTTGCTTGGGAATCCTGTGTAAGATATGTTGCAGGGTTCATGTTTAGGATGTTGCTTGAAAGGTGTTTTTTCGACAGCACACGATTGATTTTAGGTGCCCGGCGGGCTCTCTCATGGCTCAGTACACACATTGGATGTGACACAAGTTGGCACCCGTTTGCTAGCCCTCTCGAGTCTATATTCAACGCTTGGTCACAATGTTGCGGCCAAAGCGAGCGAACGTGGCGCTTTTTCAGCAGCCGATCATCATCATCATCATCATCATCATCATCATCATCATCATCATCATCATCATCATCATCATCATTCACTTCCTGCCCTGACCTCACTCTACCGCCTTGGCCTCCACGAAACTCAAAGAAACCCAACCAAAGACTAGGTCCTCCAGATTTGAGAGGTTAGAATAAGGGTACCCGATTCTTTTTCTGTAGTCCATGTTAGTAGGGCAACCCTCCCCGAAAAAAGAAACGGTAAAAGGGCTGTACTGGGCAACCTAGAAGAGGTCGAGTTTGCCTACACAACGTCCCCATCTCATCCCTTCAACCTCCCCACGAAAACCCCTAGGCGCGAGGGCCTGTGGCCAGGCCGGCCACCCCAGCCCCCACCACGGCCACCCGCGGACTGCGCTCGCCCGCCGCAATTCCCGGCGCCGGCGCGGCTTTCGCCGTCGCATGTGCGCGGAGGCCGCTGTGCAGCTCGTCCCATGCCATGGCGAAGAGAACATGCATAGACAATTCTCATTATACAGGTACATCATTCGGGAAAAAAAGGGGCTGGCCCGATTTTTTCTCCGATTCTTACTCGTGGGTTTCTCAGCTGCTGGTGGCAATAGAAGCGTTACATCAAATGCCCAAGCCAACCCATGCTCTGGGTTCATGTGCAAAAAGGGCCGCGAGACGAAGAAAAGGCCCGCGAAACCTGAGGTCATTGGAAAGACCACGGCTCACTGAAGAGCCATGGTGGGTTTGGCAAGGCACGGCGCCCACGGCGCGTCATGCCCAAGCCGTGGGGGCAGCATCGCTTTCAAAAGTTCCCGCTCAAGTCCCAAGGACCCGAAACCAAAGAACCAAGGACGCATTTCGGCATTGTCATGTTGCTGGCTGAGTCCAAATGGGCGGGGGGGCGCCTCAAAAAAGGAACTGGGAGTCCTTTTCGATGGCTGGCTGACTTGCCAGTGGCCCGAAGTCTTGACCCAACACAGACCAGCTCCAAGCCCAGGCAAACGAGGCAAACGCCGGCTGCGGCCGCCGACGCGCACATGGTCTTGGCCTGAGCCGAGCCGGGGGGCCGGCGGTAAGCCGGAAAGATGGTCAGGGGTTCAGATGGCAAAGGATGATGCTTTGAATCAAAAACGGGAAATATCTGCGAGAGAGCAGAAGGGGCGGGAAGGAGATGGGGGAATCTCAGTGTACCCCGAACGCGGGTTGATGGTTTGGATATGTTTGGATGAGAAAAATGCGAGAAAGAGCAGATGAACAGCAACATGTTTCACATGTCGATTGTTTTGTTGATATCCCATTGTATAATACAAGCAGGAAAGTACCATGTCCAATATAACATAAAGAGCATGTTGAGACAATATGAGATCAAGCATGAAGAGAATACTTCGAAACCAAATATTGTCAGAAGTGGAGCTTTATTCTCTTGTACCAAATACAACAGTTGTCTGTGTACCAGAAGTCGGCCAGAAGTAAAAGGACAAGGGCCGGGGGTCCTCCAACAAATCTCAGTCTTGGGGGCTTGTCCATAACACATCTCGAACGTGAACCAGGGACCAGGGTGAGGGGAGGGGGGTGCGGGGACACCCTTGCTAATTGGTTCATCGCTCGCTGGGAGCACATGGGGAGTGTTACAAAAATAGGCCTTGTTGGATGGTCGTGTGTTTGGAAGCCAAACGGAAACCAGACCTAAACAATGTTGACAATCACCTCATCTTTGATCCATCTGTCCTCAGATCTGCTCGAAGTTTCACTTGGACATGGAAACCCAATCAAAACCCAAACACCCAAAAGACCATCACACACACACAAAAACACAAACACACAAAAACACAAGCACAAACACAAGCACAAGCACAAGCACAAGCACAGGCACAGGCACAAGCACAAGCACAAGCACAAGCACAAGCACAAGCACAAGCACAAGCACGAGCACGAGCACGAGCACGAGCACGAGCACGAGCACGAGCACGAGCACGAGCACGAGCACGAGCACGAGCACGAGCACGAGCACGAGCACGAACACGAACACGAACACCCACACACCCACCCACACACCCACACACGCCCACACACACACACACACACCCGCCACCCACCCACCCACCCACGCACGCACGCACGCACGCACGCACGCACGCACACACACGCACACACGCACACGCACACACGCACACACGCACCCACACACCCACGCACCCACGCACGCACGCACCCACGCACGCACGCACGCACGTACCAAAAAAATACACCCCCCCCCCAAAAAAAAGAAAAAGAAAGAAGAAGCAACCACAATTTCTTACCCCAGCCCCAAAAACCAAAAAGCCCCCAAGCGTTAAACACCGGCCGACCCCCGATCCGCCCGCCCGCCGCTTGGGGCCCCCGGGGGCCCCGGGCCGCGGTGGGCAGCGTGGTGTGCTCCAGCGCCGCCAGCGCCCCGTCGTTGGCCGCGGTGTCCCCGAAGCGACTCACCGGCGCCTCGAAGCCCCAAGCGGCGGGAGACGGGGACGGGGGGGGGGAGGCCCGGTGGGGTGGAGAAGCGAGGAAAAACACCACAACGAAGCGCAAGATGGGGCAGACACGGGGAAAAAAAGGGGGGAAAGCGGGAACAAGAAGAGTGCAAACAGAATGTTTGTTTGGGGGAAGTGTTGAGGGTGGAGTATGATGGAACGGCTTTGAGATTGCAAAAACGAGAAGAGGTCTAGTCCCACACAAGAACAAGGGGCGTCATCTGACTAGTGGGCATGTATCAATGCTTCCTTCAGGTGCCGGCAATCAGCTGAGTCAGGGGTGCACATGACGCCCGATTGATTCAGACGTTGCTGGAGCGTCCTATGGAACCTGGCAATTGTCCCTTTGGACCATTAGCCGGGCATCTCCGGCAGAGTGGGTGGGTGGAGCTCATTGTCTGAATCTAAAGCACCACTGTTTTGCGCTGCGCAGCCAATGCTTCCTCTTCGCCAAAAAGAACTACTCTTGCCAAGTATGCGATTCATTGCAGGCGTTGCTTCATGCGCTTGAACTCGGGCACCTTGCATGTAAACACGAATTGTACCGGTCACCAAGCAATATTGTCCTGCCGCATGTTGCTCACAGCGACCCAAACTTTCAGCATATGCACTGCATCATCTGATCCTGCAGGACCCTTACAACTGCATCTGAAGGAAAACTGTACACTGCATGTGGGATGTAGACACCCAACAACCAGGCATTCCCAAAAAGGGGCATCAGGAGAGTGAGCCTCGTTCAGTTGGCGTTGGAAAAAACGCTCATGGCATAACTTTGCTGCTGCAAGTGGCCAGTGCTCAGGAACCACACCTCTGCAAAAAGCTTCGCTGTAAGCTCCTGAACCCAGGCCTGCTGGTCTCCCAGTGGCACTCTCTGCCCAAGGGCACGAGGACTTTCCCCGCAGCTTTGTGAGGAGCAAGCTCCTTGTCTGTGTCCTGCGTGGCCATGCTTCCTCTGCCCCCAAAAGAACTGCTCCAGCCAAGTAGGCCATCCATCCACTGCAGTCTGATTGAAGCGCAACCATGCTGCCAGTCCACAAAACCATCTTTCCCTGCCGCATGTTGCTCGCAGCGACCCAAAGTTCCAACATATGCATCGCATCATCTGATCCTGCAGGACCCTTACAACCAACCCATCTGAAGCAGTAAACTGCATATAGTAATATAGACACCCGAAAAGCCAGGCAATTCCAAAAGGGGGCATCAGGAGAGTGAGCCTCGTTCAGTTGGCGTTGCAAAAACACTCATGGCATAACTTTGCTGCTGCAAGTGGTCAGTGCTCAGGAACCACACCTCTGCGAAAAGCTTTGCTGTAAGCTCCTGGCCCCCGGCCTGCTGGTCTCCCAATGGCACTCTCTGCCCAAGGGCACGAGGACTTTCCCCGCAGCTGTGTGAGGAGCAAGCTCCTTGTCTGTGTGCTGCGTGGCCATGCTTCCTCTGCCCCCAAAAGAACGGCTCCAGCCAAGTAGGCCATCCATCCACTGCAGTCTGATTGAAGCGCAACCATGCTGCCAGTCGCAAAACCGTGTTTCCCTGCCGCATGTTGCTGAAAGCGACCCAAAGTTTCAACATATCCACCGCATCATCTGATCCTGCAGGAACCTCACAACTGCACGCGCATAGACACCCGAAAAGCCGGGCAATTCCAAAAGGGGGCATCAGGAGAGTGAGCCTCGTTCAGTTGGCGTTGCAAAAACGCTCATGGCATAACTTTGCTGCTGCAAGTGGCCAGTGCTCAGGAACCACACCTCTGCAAAAAGCTTCGCTGTAAGCTCCTGAACCCAGGCCTGCTGGTCTCCCAGTGGCACTCTCTGCCCAAGGGCACGAGGACTTTCCCCGCAGCTGTGTGAGGAGCAAGCTCCTTGTCTGTGTGCTGCGTGGCCATGCTTCCTCTGCCCCCAAAAGAACGGCTCCAGCCAAGTAGGCCATCCATCCACTGCAGTCTGATTGAAGCGCAACCATGCTGCCAGTCGCAAAACCGTGTTTCCCTGCCGCATGTTGCTGAAAGCGACCCAAAGTTTCAACATATCCACCGCATCATCTGATCCTGCAGGAACCTCACAACTGCACCTGAAAAAACTGCGCATAGACACCCGAAAAAGCCGGGCAATTCCAAAAGGGGGCATCAGGAGAGTGAGCCTCGTTCAGTTGGCGTTGCAAAAACGCTCATGGCATAACTTTGCTGCTGCAAGTGGCCAGTGCTCAGGAACCACGCCTCTGCAAAAAGCTTCGCTGTAAGCTCCTGAACCCAGGCCTGCTGGTCTCCCAGTGGCACTCTCTGCCCAAGGGCACGAGGACTTTCCCCGCAGCTTTGTGAGGAGCAAGCTCCTTGTCTGTGTCCTGCGTGGCCATGCTTCCTCTGCCCCCAAAAGAACTGCTCCAGCCAAGTAGGCCATCCATCCACTGCAGTCTGATTGAAGCGCAACCATGCTGCCAGTCCACAAAACCATCTTTCCCTGCCGCATGTTGCTCGCAGCGACCCAAAGTTTCAACATATGCATCGCATCATCTGATCCTGCAGGACCCTTACAACCAACCCATCTGAAGCAGTACACTGCATATAGACACCCGAAAAGCCAGGCAATTCCAAAAGGAGGCATCAGGAGAGTGAGCCTCGTTCAGTTGGCGTTGCAAAAACGCTCATGGCATAACTTTGCTGCTGCAAGCGGCCAGTGCTCAGGAACCACACCTCTGCGACAAGCTTTGCTGTAAGCTCCTGGCCCCCGGCCTGCTGGTCTCCCAATGGCACTCTCTGCCCAAGGGCACGAGGACTTTCCCCGCAGCTTTGTGAGGAGCAAGCTCCTTGTCTGTGTGCTGCGTGGCCATGCTTCCTCTGCCCCCAAAAGAACTGCTCCAGCCAAGTAGGCCATCCATCCACTGCAGTCTGATTGAAGCGCAACCATGCTGCCAGTTGCAAAACCATCTTTCGCTGTCGCATGTTGCACACAGCGACCCAAAGTGTTAATATCTGCGCCGATTTCATCTGATCCTGCAGGACCCTTGCAACTGCATCTGAAGAAAAACATGTACACTGCATGTAGGATATAGACATCCCAAAGCCAGGAAATCTCAAAAGGAGGCATCAGGAGAGTGAGCCTCGTTCAGTTGGCGTTGCAAAAACGCTCATGGCATAACTTTGCTGCTGCAAGCGGCCAGTGCTCAGGAACCACACCTCTGCAAAAAGCTTCGCTGTAAGCTCCTGAACCCAGGCCTGCTGGTCTCCCAGTGGCACTCTCTGCCCAAGGGCACGAGGACTTTCCCCGCAGCTTTGTGAGGAGCAAGCTCCTTGTCTGTGTCCTGCGTGGCCATGCTTCCTCTGCCCCCCAAAAGAACTGCTCCAGCCAAGTAGGCCATCCATCCACTGCAGTCTGATTGAAGCGCAACCATGCTGCCAGTCCACAAAACCATCTTTCCCTGCCGCATGTTGCTCGCAGCGACCCAAAGTTTCAACATATGCATCGCATCATCTGATCCTGCAGGACCCTTACAACCAACCCATCTGAAGCAGTAAACTGCATATAGACACCCGAAAAGCCAGGCAATTCCAAAAGGGGGCATCAGGAGAGTGAGCCTCGTTCAGTTGGCGTTGCAAAAGCGCTCATGGCATAACTTTGCTGCTGCAAGTGGTCAGTGCTCCGGAACCACACCTCTGCGAAAAGCTTCGCTGTAAGCTCCTGAACCCAGGCCTGCTGGTCTCCCAGTGGCACTCTCTGCCCAAGGGTGTGAGGACTTTCCCCGCAGCTTTGTGAGGAGCAAGCTCCTTGTCTGTGTGCTGCGTGGCCATGCTTCCTCTGCCCCCAAAAGAACTGCTCCAGCCAAGTAGGCCATCCATCCACTGCAGTCTGATTAAAGCGCAACCATGCTGCCAGTTGCAAAACCATCTTTCGCTGTCGCTGTTGCACACAGCGACCCAAAAGTGTTAATATCTGCGCCGATTTCATCTGATCCTGCAGGACCCTTACAACTGCATCTGAAGAATAACATGTACTGTACACTGCATGTAGGATATAGACATCCCAAAGCCAGGCAATCTCGAAAGGAGGCATCAGGAGAGTGAGCCTCGTTCAGTTGGCGTTGCAAAAACGCTCATGGCATAACTTTGCTGCTGCAAGTGGCCAGTGCTCAGGAACCACACCTCTGCAAGAAGCTTCGCTGTAAGCTCCTGAACCCAGGCCTGCTGGTCTCCCAGTGGCACTCTCTGCCCAAGGGCACGAGGACTTTCCCCGCAGCTTTGTGAGGAGCAAGCTCCTTGTCTGTGTGCTGCGTGGCCATGCTTCCTCTGCCCCCAAAAGAACTGCTCCAGCCAAGTAGGCCATCCATCCACTGCAGTCTGATTGAAGCGTAACCATGCTGCCAGTCCACAAAACCATCTTTCCCTGCCGCATGTTGCTCGCAGCGGCAGCGGCCCAAAGTTTCAACATATGCATCGCATCATCTGATCCTGCAGAACCCTTACAACCAACCCATCTGAAGCAGTAAACTGCATATAGACACCCGAAAAGCCAGGCAATTCCAAAAGGGGGTATGAGGAGAGTGAGCCTCGTTCAGTTGGCGTCGCAAAAACGCTCATGGCATAACTTTGCTGCTGCAAGTGGTCAGTGCTCAGGAACCACACCTCTGCAAAACGCTTCGCTGTAAGCTCCTGAACCCAGGCCTGCTGGTCTCCCAGTGGCACTCTCTGCCCAAGGGCACGAGGACTTTCCCCGCAGCTTTGTGAGGAGCAAGCTCCTTGTCTGTGTACTGCGTGGCCATGCTTCCTCTGCCCCCAAAAGAACTGCTCCAGCCAAGTAGGCTGTCCATTGCAAGCCTGATTGAAGCGCAACCATGCTGCCAGTCGCAAACCCATCTTTCGCTGTCGCATGTTGCTGAAAGCGACCCAAAGTTTCAACATATCCACCGCATCATCTGATCCTGCGGGAACCTCACAAATTGCATCTGAAACAAATCCTGTAAGCTGCACATAGACACCCGAAAAGCCGGGCAATTCCAAAAGGGGGCATCAGGAGAGTGAGCCTCGTTCAGTTGGCGTCGCAAAAAACGCTCATGGCATAACTTTGCTGCTACAAGTGGCCAGTGCTCAGGAACCACACCTCTGCAAAAAGCTTCGCTGTAAGCTCCTGAACCCAGGCCTGCTGGTCTCCCAGTGGCACTCTCTGCCCAAGGGCACGAGGACTTTCCCCGCAGCTGTGTGAGGAGCAAGCTCCTTGTCTGTGTGCTGCGTGGCCATGCTTCCTCTGCCCCCAAAAGAACGGCTCCAGCCAAGTAGGCCATCCATCCACTGCAGTCTGATTGAAGCGCAACCATGCTGCCAGTCGCAAACCCGGGTTTCCCTGCCGCATGTTGCTGAAAGCGACCCAAAGTTTCAACATATCCACCGCATCATCTGATCCTGCAGGAACCTCACAACTGCACCTGAAAAAACTGCGCATAGACACCCGAAAAGCCGGGCAATTCCAAAAGGGGGCATCAGGAGAGTGAGCCTCGTTCAGTTGGCGTTGCAAAAACGCTCATGGCATAACTTTGCTGCTGCAAGTGGTCAGTGCTCAGGAACCACACCTCTGCAAAAAGCTTCGCGTAAGCTCCTGAACCCTGGCCTGCTGGTCTCCCAGTGGCACTCTCTGCCCAAGGGCACGAGGACTTTCCCCGCAGCTTTGTGAGGAGCAAGCTCCTTGTCTGTGTACTGCGTGGCCATGCTTCCTCTGCCCCCAAAAGAACTGCTCCAGCCAAGTAGGCTGTCCATTGCAAGCCTGATTGAAGCGCAACCATGCTGCCAGTCGCAAACCCATCTTTCGCTGTCGCATGTTGCTCACAGCGACCCAACAGTTCAATATATCCACCGCATTATCTGATGCTGCAGGACCCTCGCAACTGAATCTAAAAAAAACGACAGTACACTGCATGTAGGATATAGACATCCGAAACGCCAGGCAATCACAAAAGGGGGCATCAGGAGAGTGAGCCTCGTTCAGTTGGCGTCGCAAAAACGCTCAATGCATGACTTTGTTGCTGCAAGTGGCCAGTGCCCAGGAACCACACCTCTGCAAAAAGCTGCGTGGCCATGCTTCCTCTGCCCCCAAAATCCAGCCAACTAAATGCCTTGCAGGCTGATCCGCCCACAGTTTCAGCACATGCACCGCAGCCTTCGATCTTGCTCCTCATCTGAAAAAACGGTTCTCTGCACATAGACACCCCTTCCAGTCAGGCAATCATGAAGGGAGGTAGAGGAGAGTGAGCCTCCAGTGGGCTTCGCTGCGAGTTCCCAACGGCATTCCGTGCCTGGCTCTCGAGCCAAACGGCCGCGAGGCCCAAATCGAGACAGGATGTCCAGGAAGGCAACGCTCTTTTGGGCAGCTTGGTTCGAAGTAGCCCGAAGGAAGCCAAGGTAAATGGAACCAAGGACCAATTCCTGTGGTCTCCTGGTTTTTTGTTCGACCCATACTCAAATTCACCGTCAGGCAAGGCTTGACAGGGCACAGAACGACTTCCGCATGATCTCAGCTGCATCCAGCCTTTGAATGGTAGACCTACGTGTCTACACATCTATGCTTGCAAATCCATGTGCCGCCAATCTGCCATGCAAAGAATCTGGAGACAAAGCAATGTCTATGTAGTGAGTGGAATGGCCAAAGCATTTTGATGGAATTGCGCCATGTGGGTGTGTCTTTGTCTTTTTCTTTTGAGGAATCGGACCCCCCAAAATGGCTTCGGCTGTCCTTTTGGTTTCCCTTTCAAGCCTACCGAAAAATGGGGTACCTCCCCCCCCCCTCACCAAAAAGAAAAGAAAGGAGACAAAACAAAAAACAAGAGAGACAGAAGCAAAACAAGAACCACACGAGCCGCCCATGCGCTTTCGCCCACCCTGCCGAGCGCCAGATTCGCACCGCCTGGATGAGGCCCGGGGCCAGGCCCCGGTAGAAGCGGGTGACGCCGCCCTCCGCGTAGAGCGTCTTGGCGACCTGGGCTCGAACCGAGTTCCTCACCTCCCTTTTGAGGAGCCCAGCCGAACGCCCCAAACTGGTTGGACCGAGAAGGGGCCCGGAACCCCTGGACTGTTTGCTTAGTTGGTTGGAGCTTTGGATTTTCTGGTGGTTGGCTTGAAGAGACGTGTCTCGACACACGCCCATTTGTTGTTTCTCCATGAGGCGCGCCACAATCAACAAATTGTGGGAGGATACCGCAAGGGCTGTCTGAATATGTGGCCATGGGTCAAAATCCCGTACCCCCAGTGAACATCCCAATCCCCACTAAAACAGACTAAAATGGGTAGTGCACCTACCATTGGTTTTCACCCACAGCCATGTTCATTGGGTACCTTCCAAAAATGGTAGGGGTTCAGAGAAGAGGACCCATTCTTGCTTATACGCTGTCTGCCTTCATGCGGGGCGGCCTTCATGCGGGGGAAGAACCCAAAACACTTCCTGGGACCAGCAGGTTCATGGCTCGGCAGAAGCCGGCGAACACAATCTGGCGAGAGCTTCGCGAGCTGACATGACTTTGATGATGGCGTCTGAGAAATTCTGCCGGAACCAAGAAGGACAAGGAGAGGGAAAAGAATAGAAAAAGGAATAGGAAGAGGAACAGGAAAAGGAATAGGCCAAGGATTAGGAAAAGGAATAGGAAAAGGAATGGAAAAAGAAAAAGGAAAAGGAATAGGAAAAGGAAAAGGAATAGGAAAAGGAATAGGAATAGGAAAAGGAATAGGAATAGGAAAAGGAATAGGAAAAAGGAAAAGGAATAGGAAAAGGAAAAGGAATGGAAAAAGAAATAGGAAAAGGAAAAGGAAAGGAATAGGAAAAGGAATGGGAGGAGAGCCGATATTGAGAACATCCTACGATGAAGAATCAAACCTTCTGTTGCATCTCCGAACAGCAGACCCAGCAGGATGTGGTGCCCAGGGAGTTTGGGAACATGCCCATGAGAGGCGCAAGCTACACATGAGGCTTTGAAGAGTCGCCACGAATACGGGCAGCCCAAAGAGGAAACAACCAGCCGCAACGTTTGAAAAACGTTTGGAAACATCTCAGCTTAACGCACGCAGCATGAAAGAAGTCCTTGGCGAAACATTCTGACGTCGGCTTGCGGAGTGCAGCCAACACCCCTGCCAACTTTTCGCCAGCGCTACGTCGCCTTTGGCCCCACCCAGAAATCCCGAAAGAAGAGATGCGCGCTTCTGGAAGTGTTTTGGTGAGCCGCAAAATCTCAGTGGCCATGGGGAAAAAGACCGGCATCTCTTTTTTGTTGGTTGAGTCTAAAGGGGAACCCTTCCCAAAAAAGAGTTGAAGGCCGGAGTCCACTGGGCAACTGGGAACTGCTCCAAGCTCCACTTGAAACCTAATAATAATAATAAAAACAATAATAATTATTATTATAATAATATTAATAATAATAATAATAAAAACAAAAACAACACATTTTATTAAACAAATAGTTTCAACGGAGGCCCAGGGCTGCATGGCTCCTGCGCTCCAAGTTCCACTGGGGCCGCCGGCGCTCATGAAGGTGCCGCCTGG